TCTGTAGATGAGGGAACCGAAGAGAAACTGGAGGACCGTGATAAAACCAATGATACCCCCATATCTCCAGTGGTCTTTTTTTTGGTCCAGTGCTCCCCTTGTCTCCTTGTCTGGCATCAGAGCCTTTCTTTCCTGTTATAAGGATTTCAGACATTAGCAGGTGGGTGGGAGCTATTTTTGGAATGGTCTTCCCTGGTGGCTTAGATGGCAAAGAATCCACCTGCAATGCAGGAGACCTGGGTTGGATCCCTGAGTTGGGAAGATCCCCTGGAGAAGGGAATGGCAATAAGGAGGAGCCTGAAATGATACTACCACATTAAAAAAAAAAAAAAAAAAAGCCTAACTCTGAAAATCATCTGATCTTGTTCTTAGATGGTTAAGGTGGGTGGACTTCCTAACCAACTCTTGTCCATTTGGAGTGTGTGAGAATCCAGCCCCCAGAAAGGCAGGGTCCCTTCTCCCTGGCTGGCACCTCAGGATATGGGTGCTTCCTTGGGTAAAAATTTCCTGACAAAGCTGTGCATTACAGGATTGAGACAAAGCGGATACTACACACCACTTTGGAAATTTCTTCAGAAGTGCTTGGAAACAAAGGAGTGGGGGGGTGGGGCATCTCAGAGAAGAAAAGATGAGAGATGAGGTTTAGACAGCTTTGAAAGTAGTGGAGGGAAGAGAGACAGGGGGAAGGCAGGGGCAGGTGGGAGGAGGCTCCATGGAAGAGCCCTCCTGAATTTAGGCAGAGCTCCCACCCCTGACTGTCCAGGGGCGCAGCACCCAAGCCTCCCAGAGAAGCTGTGACCATGTGGGGGAACAATCCTGCCCGCTTTAACCATCTAAGAACACCAAGATCAGGTGGCTTTTAGGGTTAGTTTTTTTTTTTTAAATGTGGTAGTATCATTTCAGGCTCTTCCTTAGTGCCATTCCCTTCTCCAGGGGATCTTCCCCACTGAGGGATCCAACCTGGGTCTCCTGTATTGAAGGTGGATTCTTTACCATCTGAACCACCAGGGAAGCCCATTCCAAAAATAGTTCCCATCTACCTGCTGATACCTGAAATCCTTGTAACAGGAAAGCCCCTGATGCCAGGCAAAGAGATAAAAGTCTTCATTATGCAAATCTCCAGTGGAGCAGCTCCATCTGAAACTCATTCACATGAAAATGTCCTCAACCAGCTTTTCAGCAGATGGGGTGACTGATAACCCACGGAGATGGCAGAGGCGTCTGCCACCCTTGACCTGAGGACAGGCACGGGAAAGGGAAGGTGAGGAAGCCCTCACACAGCTCTGGCACCACTGTGCCCGCAGGAACCGCCTGTGGTTTCCCGAGGTGGCTCAGGGTTAGAGTACATCTGTGAGTCCATGGTGTCTTGATCTTCTGGGTCTTAGGGTGGAGCCATGCGGTCAGCGTGCAGATCAAGTGCTGGGTCCTCAGCTCGGTGAGTTCCTGTTTGTTGTCAGCGCTGGTTGTTCATCACACCCCAAACCTGGGGACCCGGGCCGGGCGTGAGAGTGAGGCGACCTGGCATCTCTCCACCCCTTCCCTGTGGGAGGCTGAGTAAGCAGCCCCGGCGGAAGGGGAGCGCCTCTGGGGTCAGGTTTGGGTCTATGAGCGGGAACCCGAGCCCCTTGTGGCTGAAGCTTTAAGTTACATCTTACCTGGTCCTTTCCCTGGTGTGTGTGTTGTCTTAGCACAAGTGACGCCTGGTCTCAGGTGTGCTGTGGGGATTTAGGAAAGCACTTGGGCCAGCTCCGGAAGGAGGCATCAAGGGGGAGAACTGGGTCTTCTTCAGGAGAGTTCCTCCCGGATTCTCAAGCCAGTGTGGGGCCCAGCAGTGCGCTGACAGGTCACGGTCAAGGTCAGCAGGGGTGGGTGTGAGGACAGCCAAGCCTGTGAGCTCACAGGCAGGGGGCGCTCCTCTCGAGAACACCCCTAAGTATCTGGGGGACCTTGGAGACGGGCTCCGATCTGGAACTCAGAACGAGGAGGACTTGATCGTCTAGACCTGAGGACTGAGCGTTCCTGGCTGGGACAGGCAGGCGTCCAGCACGTCTGCGATGCTTGTGGGAGGCCTGCCTTCCTCCCGGGGGTGTGGGAGAAGGGGCCCACACCGAGCAAGCCTAGCTCTCAGAGGCGCCGTTTCCTCCCGTCACTGTGTTCTTTTCCTTTACAAGGAAGAGGTCTTGGCAAACTGATGAACTGATCATTCCCACCGGTGTAATTTTAGCAGCTCCGGTGGAGCCAGAGGGAAGATAATCAAACAGCGCGTCCTTTTGAGTAGTTCTTTACTCCAGGCCCTTGGTAAGTGTTTCCCTGACTATCTAATCTGTCTCCTTCCTCTAATTTTATTTTCCTCTGTGGAGCTCCCCTGGTCAATTATTTATCTTGTTTCTCGGCTGTTTTCTCCTCTAGACCATAAGTTCTGTGAGGACAGGGTTTTTTTTTGTTTGTTTGTTTTTGGTCTGTTTTGTTCACTGATTTTATTCACTGTTTTATTTACTGAATGCCTAGAACAGTGTCTGGCACATCTTGAGTTCTCCACGCATACTTGCCAAATGAATGAACTAATCAAACTGTCCTATTTTCTGCAAGCAGATGTTCAGCATTTGCTAATTTCGGAAACGGTCACATTTAACTTCTTGGAAGACCAGCTCAGGTGCCATTCTCAGTGCTATAGGAGAGCTGAAGTAGCCAAATGCAAAATGTGAGTTATTTCACTAGCTTTGGAATACTCCACACTAGGTTATGACTTCCAGAATGGCTTCTGTCATCTTTATGCCCAGTTTTCAGATGCCCAGTTCATTTTAAATACTTATAGAATGGTGTAGCATAAAATGTCCTAAGGGATGGAGTTTCAGAGCCAAGACATGGTCCATGTCCCTAAGAGCTCACAGTCTAGTGGGAGAGTTAGATTTATTGCCAAATGATGTGGTTCATGCAATAAGAGTACTGTTAAGGAAGCAGGTGGATTTCAGATGGGTGGTCAGCAAAGCCCATGAAACAAATGATGCCCAAATAGGGTTCTGAGAAATTGATAGGCTATCACATGACCAACAAGATGGGGAGAAGGTCCATGCCAATTCACAGAGATGTGGAAGAGTGGCTTGGTGTCACTGGACCATTCTGTGCTTGTCAGGAGAGGCAGGGACAGCACAACTGAAGTGAACATGGGTTGTACCTCTAGCTGTGGGTCCTGGTCACTCTCAATGTCTCAGACACGTCCTGCTGGTGGCTGGGCACCGCCACCCGGGCAGTTCAGAGTCATTGCAAGCACTGGGTGAACAGACTTACTCCACTTGGCCAGGGTCTGTTTTATCCCTTCACGTTAACCTTCTGAGAAGAAATCAGATGACTGATTTTGTGTGTGTGTGTGTGTGTGTGTGTGTTGCCAGATATCAAAAGACAGAAGTAGAACAGTTTCACACCAAAGAATTTCATGAGGTAGACTCAGAATGAAGTTTGAATTCATATGCTCTAGGGTCCCTGAAAGACACTGGTTGTGTGTGGCTGTTAGAATGACGACCATGTTCTTTTTTCACAAAGAGGAGGGAAAGGGACAGTAGGAATTCCTCCTTTTGCCTATGAAAGCAAAACTTGCAAGTAATGGGAAAAAGCATGAAGGAGAGGAGCAGAGGGCAGAGTTTATATCATTTCTATGGGGGCATATGGTCTTTTGGGGCTGCTGTGACTTTTTTAGCCTTAGTGGAGACTGAGAGCTCTTGATTGCTTAATTAGAGGCTACCTTTGTCATCTTTTAGAAGTAAAGCTTAGAACAAGTACAGTGATCCCTCAGTGTCTGCAGGAGATTGGTTCCAGGACCCCCTTCAAGTACCAAAACCCAGGGATTGCTCTAGTTGTTTATATAAAGAGGTATTATTTTTCGTTGTTCACTCAATAATGTCCAACTTTTTGTGACCCCATGGAGTGCAGCACGCCAGGCCTCCCAGTCCTTCACTGTCTCCCAGAGTTTTAGCTCAGACTCATGTCCATTGAGTCAATGATGCCATCCAACCACCTCATCCTCTGTCGTCCCCTTCTCCTTCCACCTTCAATCTTTCCCAGCATTGGGGTTTTTCCAGTCAGTCGGCAATTTGCATCAGGTGGCCAAATTATTCGAGCTTCAGCTTCAGCATCAGTCCTTCCAATGAATATTCAGTGTTGTAGTATTTGCATATAACCTACAAACATCCTCCCATATACTTTAAATCATCTCTAGATTATTTATAATACTTAGCACAATGCAAATGATATGTAAATAGTTGTAAATACAATGGAAATGCTATGTAAATTGTTGCCAGTGCACAGCAAATTCAAGTTTCATTTGGAACTTTCTGAAATTGTTTTTCATTTTTTGGAGTATTTTTGATTCGTGGTTGGTTGAATCATTGGACACAGAACCCGCAGATATGGAGGGCTGACTGCACTGTACAAGGATGCAAAGCCAGAGGCTTAGACTCAGGTTTGGCTACTCTTCATGGTCCAGTGGTGCTGCCATAAGTTGCATCATCAAGTCTCAATTTCTTGTGCACTCAGAAAAAAGGGAATATAGCTAGAGCTCACAGAATCCTTCCTAAAATACTATAAAGGTGTTATTATAACTCCAGATTTTAGAACAGTGAAATGTAAAAGAAATCTCTACTCATCACTGTAATGGTTTAGATACAGGTTAAGACACCCATACTGCTAGTGAAGGTCTGTAGATAACAATCTATACTTTTATATAAATCTTTATATTCGGGAGAGATTTGACTACAGTACAGAGGTGTCAAACTCATGGTGAGCTTTTTTCTTTTCTTTTTTTTTATGGCATGCAATTTTATAGAGAAATCTTCCTCAGGAAGCAGGTTTTCCATTTATATGATGAAGCATGAAACTCAACATGTATTATAGAGAAAAGAGGGGTATATTTAATGTATATAAATTTATTTGCCTTGGCAATTAGTTATTTACAATTGATGATTGATACCAACAATTGAGGTAAAGATATACATGAGGTATAAATATATTATTTAAAGGCAGTATATTTTATTTCCATTGGCAAGATAACAATGCATAAAATACTGTGGTATTTGACAACAAGCTTGATGCATCTTTCTCCTCTTTTTTTGTTTTTTTTTAAGATGCACTGTGTTGTAGGCAGCAGGGGTGTACTTAGTATGTGCATAAAAAATAAAAAGGTAATTTGAAGAAAAAGGGAGTCAGAAATCAAATCACGTTGTTTTTATTCTAAGTGTCCTCTAGATCTCGGCTTCTCAGGCTGTGGTCTTTGCCCTGAAGCTGGTTCAGAATCCAGAATCTCAGGCCTGCCTGAGACTACCTGAATCAGAGGCTCATTGGAACAAGATCTCCAGGTGATCCGTGTGCTGCTAAGGCTGGAAAACCCTGCTCTCGGTGACCCGACACCGGTCATCCTTTGTGCCCGTCACACCTCCTGAAAACACGCGAGCCCATCTCTGGAGTGGGACCAGCATTAAGCTAAATTAAAATTCACTAACAATCCTGTCTGTAATCTGGCATGTGTGGTTAAATTTAGGATGTGGATTTGTTTTGCTCGCAGAGCAGTGCGCAAATGGAAAACTACGGGTTTGCCGCCACCTTCTTCGGTAGGCAAGGGAACAAAACAAATTCCTCGATTACAATTCAGACAGTATGATTTTACTCGTACCATCCAGAACTCATTTATAGCATTTTTATTCCTCTCAATAAAAGAATTGCACATCGCTGATAAAAGAAAACATTACATAAACATACAATATAAAAAGAAAACACTGTTTTTTTCCCCTCCAACACCAATTGCTAAATTATGATACCAATCTCTCCCTGAAATCAAACACAATAAATTATCTTCCTCTCTAGAGTTGCTGAATTACAATTAAAAAAACCCAACTTAAAATCCATCAGCAATTGGTTAAGGATAGTCAATTTGCTTAGTCCATACAATAATAAATAAGGTTCAGTCAAATGCATAGCTAGCTTGACTGACTAATGAAGAAACATGGACTTAACAAACCTGTTTATATTTTCTAAAGCTAATTGAAGAACACAGTTTTGGTCTTAATGTTAGTTTAAAACCCTGTCTTTCATATTGCGGAACTTTAACGAGTAATATCTTAAGAGCATCATACGTAGCAATATTAGAACTCCCTGAAGCTGTAAGGGTCCAGGACTCTTCAGTGACCAGCATCTCCCTTTATCTGGTGTCCAGAGTTAAATTCAGTGCAAGACGTTGGTAAGAAAATGTCAATTAACTGTGACCGTTAAATAGGCCACTGGTCAAACAGAATGACATTTAAGAACATTATGCAATGTATCTATGAAACCTCAACAAAACACAGAGGCTCCCTTTGGCTGTGAATATGCCAAGGCTATTATATTCAGCTCTAATCAGCAGGGAAATACAGGTTCTGTTTCAGTCACTGGCGCTGACTCCAGTGGTCCATGGGCGTCTGGCATTTCACTGAAACTGTATCTGCCGGCCCCATGGCAACTGGTAAGATAGTCTTAAATCTGGTAACGACTGCTCACCCACTTCTCTGCTTTAAAGAGGGCTATTATTTTCCTTGCTTTATCCAACACCCCACTTTCAGGTTTTGAATGATACAAACTGACAAGACGTGAGAACCATTTAATGTGTTTTCCTTTGGTTGGCTAATCTTTGGTAAAACATCAGGGCGGACAACTTGTTTTCACACTTTGGTGTCAGCAGCAGATTCTGCTCAGCTTACAGGGCAGTGGGGACACAGGGCCCAGAGAGACTCGGAAAGAACCATGTGGGGAAGGGACTCACCTGGTCAGATGCATTCCTTTTCAAAATACGCAATTATATATAAAGTTGATATTTTACATATATACAGTAAAGATAGAGATATACACACATATGTACATATGCTATACATACATTTATTTACAGTTAATGATAATGCTTCTTAGAAGCCTTTAAATAGCAAAATTAGCAAATGCACAAGGAATAATCCATTTAATCTTAAGTAACATAGATAAATGTTCTGATTTTTAAAAATATTATATTAGTAGGGATGTAGCCGTCTCCAGGAAGGCTAGGAAAAGTTCTCAGAAATTCTTGCATCTTTGACATTCCGACTTCTCAGTGCTTCTGCTTTTGAGCATTAACTTTGTCAATCGGTTTCTCTCTCTCTCTCGCTTTCTCACTCTCACACTCTCTCCCACAATTGTTTGCTTCTGCTTCCTCTTCCCTGAGTTTGATGTCACACTTGGGAAAACTCAGATTTTAGTTTCTGGACCCTCAGCAATGAGGGGCTGAAAAGAGTTTCTAATCCTGGCAACTTCCGCCGCACACAGGTGTCCAAAGCCTTTATTGTACCATTCTGGGGAGTGACCTCTGTGGGGACAAAAACGGGGAGGGAAGTGGGAAAGCCTCTTCCACATCACAACAGTTTGTCATGGTCGACACGGCTGCGCCTGTGCCCTGCCTGTCAGTCCGCCTGCCTTCCCCGAGGGGCTGCTGCTCCGAGGATCTGAGAACCTCATTCTGTCAATGGGGGCCCGTGAAAATGCCTTCCTGGCCAAGGATTCAGTCTGTCTTTGCAGGATTCACTGGGTGCTTTCAAATGATAGCGTCCTCTCAGGGACGAGTCTGACTTAACAAGAATTTATGGAGAAAGCCCAGTTTATATCCACCCAGACCAAGAACTCAGTTTAGCATCATGAATGCGTTGAAAAAGGTTGGATTTCAATTAGTTCCTTCTCATAGGAGGGCAACTGGAGAGAGCAGAAAAGAGACAGGCTGGAAAGAAACATAAGAGGACTTGTATTTACTGAGCATCCACTATGTGCCAGGCTCCAGTGCTGGCGTTTGCCCCGTGAGAGAGGCACAGGAGTACACGTGGGACAAAATGGAAAATAAAGACGGGCATGGGACCCTCTCCTGAAAGTCAGAATTTTAGCAAGGCTAAAGGCTGGAAAGAGAAGTGAGGGGAATGATTCGTAATCATCGAGACAACGTGTTAATGGTCAGGAGGAGAAAAGGACAGAGCAGTAAGGGATCAGATGGGAAAGAGGGCCCTGTGCCTGCCACCTCCAGGAGCCCACACTCACCTCAGGTCCACCCTGCAGATGTGGGTCAGCCGCGACTTGCCCGAACCACACGGCTCTATCAAGTACTGAGAGTCCATCACCACAGCCCGCACGCCGCCCATGAGCTGGGCTTCCTCGTGTTCCACGGACAGGGACACGAGGGCACACATTCCTTTGGGCAAGTCAGTCTTCCAGGTTCTGCAGCAAAACAAACCCACATGTGGGAACTATGGCCGAGAGAGAAAGGAAACCCAAGCACAGTGCTGAGGCTTACGCTGACATTTTCTTGCTCAAATTCCAAGCCCAGTTACTTGGATTCAGTTAATGGTTCTCACAAGTGTGTGTAAAGTTTACACAGTGCGGTGCAAAGCAGGGTTCTCATCCCTCCGAACCAGAGGTCAGAAACGACTTTGCAGTTTTTAGAGATTCTTTCCAAATCCCAACTGAGGCTGGAGAGACTCCTGCACATTCCTGAAGGGCTCACTGGTCCCACCATTTGGGAATCGGGACTTGCTCATTCAGTTCTTTCACCAAACATCTACTGGATGTGCCAAGCTATGAGAAGCCACTGAAGACACAAAGATCTAATCAGGAGGAGAAACAGACCTCCAGAGAGAACTCTAAAACACTCTGACAAGCACAGTGATAGACTGTGCAAGGAGAGTTCTGAGATCATGCACATGGGAAGGCTTCCTGGAGGAGGTGATGCTCCACTCAAGTCTGAAAGGATACATGAGCTGATGATGCTCAGTTAGAAGAAAACTAGACACATGTGGACTGCTAACTGCCTTCAAATCCTTGAGAGGCTCCTGAGTGGGAGAAGAAATAAATACAGTTGATTTGACTCCAGAAAGCAGAGATAATGAAGGCATGTTTCAATCCAGTGCAGAGAAGAACTGTCTCACAATGTGCACTCTTCAAAAATGGAATGGACTGAATAAGGAGTAGTGAGCTCACTGTTACTGGAGCTATTCAAACATAGAAGGGGGTACCATTTGGGAAAAGGTTGTAGATGGAAGTCAGGAACCATGAGAGCATCTCTGTAGCAACCATTTCTACCATAGGATATAGGTTTGATTATTATAATCTCAGTTATTATGTCACAAATCCTATCCCCTTGCTTGATAGTTATCTCATCTATAACTTCATCCTCTTCTACCACACAAGAAACATATTACCAGGAAACCTGGGAATAAACAAGCCCAACACAAATTTCTTAGCAACTTCTGCATGGGTATGACCATTCTCTTTTCATGCATGATGCTGTGACTAAGAACAAAGACTGAAAGTTGCATAGATTTGTGGGAATAAAATGGAAAAAAGGCTTCAGTGACTATCACTGGAACCTCCTGAGGAACTAGAGAAAGGGATGACATAGACATGAACATGGTAATCCTGAAAGGAGACCACCCATGGCACTTTCTACCTCTCGTATCATAACCACAAGGAATTCCTGCTGCAAGCAACATGTCTGGTTCATTATTCATCTTCTTGGGTGCTGAGTTCTCCTCCCTCAGCCTCATGGTCCACCCACCTTCTCCTTTAAGTCTTGCATCAAATATCAACACAGTGAGACTCTACTCTGACCACTATATTTGAAATTCTACCCCTTTCTATCCCTCTATCTTACATATCACCCTAAGATAAGTAACCCCTTCATGGATCACAGCTTTGTGAGAGCTAGGTGATAAGGAAGGTTGTGCACCAAAGAACTGATGTTTTTGAACTAGGGTGCTGGAAAAGACTCTTCAGAGTCCCTTGGACTATAAGGAGATCAAATCAGTCAATCCTAAAGGAACTCAACCCTGAATATTCATTGGAAGAATTGATGCTGAAACTGAAGCTCCAACACTGTGGCCATCTAATGTCAACAGCAACTCAACAGAAAAGACCCTGATGCTGAGAAAGATTGAGGGTGGGAGGAAAGGGGGTGGCAGAGGATGAGATGATTAGATAGCACCACCGACTCAATGGACATGAATCTGAGCAAACTCCGCGAGACAGTGAAGGACAGGAGAGCCTAGTAAGCTGCAGTCCATGGGGTTACAGAGTTGGAAATGACTTAGCGACTGAACAACAACAGAAAAGATAAGAAATCCTAGTCCTCTTGCTTATTCTTTATTGATTCTTCCTAATAAAATATAAATCTCAAGATAGCAGGACCGTGGTCTGTTCATAGTAGTATCTTGAGTATCCAACAGTGCCTGGCACAAAGCTGGGATGGAATGAGACTCTAGAAATGGCAGGTGGGTGGCACTGCAGGAGGAGTGGAAGAAAGGCTGTTTCATTAATGGACTCTGGCCCTCAGCCTCCTCTAAGGGGAGCAGAGAGTGGGCCATGGCGGGGCTCCAACCCACCAGTTCCCAGGGCTGCCATCCTGGAACTATTTGACTTCTTGCTTGCAGCAGTGAAGGTGTAAAATTTAAGTTCCAATGAGATGAGTAATGTCCCAATAACTGTGTTAATAAGCCATGCTTACAGTTGCCCACATTCTCCACTAGGATCCCATCGTGGCTAAGATGAACACGTATACTTGGGGGGAAAAAAAAATGATGCTTGAAATTCAAAGGCACAAATAGCCCATGTGAAAAGTAATCTTTAGTTTGCTATCAAGACTAGTTTAATAAAGAAACTATTTTAAATATAGATTTGGGGATTTCACTAGTGATTTTTTTAAATACCGCTAATATATGAGAAAAGATGGTATTCACCATCAGTTATCAATAAAAAAAAGAATTTACTTAATTATATATTTTTTTGGGTTTGTCAGTATCCTCCATCCCCATTCTTTCTGATTCAGTACAGACTCACCAGCCAACACACACAGCTCCACTGTTCCATTGCCTATTGTTAGTTGAGCATCCCACTCTAAACCCTGAGAACAGGGGTCTGGAACTCAACTCACAAATCTATTAGAAGCAATATTTCAGCGGATGAGCTCAGAGTCTCAAGCCTTGTCAGGCCCTGAAATCTTTCTGGACATTCTAATGTCTCAGCATAGTTGGACCTTCAGGGCTGGGCCAAGGTTTCCATGCATGGGGATGACTTATGAACACGTGAGGGCTTCCCTGGTGGCTCAGAGAGTAAAGAATTCGCCTGCAATCCAGGAGCCCTGGATTAGATCCCTAGGTCTGGAAGATCCCCTGGAGGAGATCAAGGCAACGCACTCCAGTATTCTTGCCTGGAGAATTCCAGGGACAGAGGAGCCTGGAGGGCTATAGTCCATGGGGTTGCAAAGAATTCACACGACTGAGCGACTGAGCACACTCTGAACGTGTGAAGTTAAACAGATGAATTCTCAAGTTGCACACACTCCAGATGGAGAGCCACACCACCGAAGACTTTCGGAGAAAGTCCCCCAGGCAGAGAAACACAAAATCAAGAGAAAAGTCAGTGAGATTCAATTTGCATAATTTGGCAGAAAGTACAGCTGGACAAACAGCAGCTCTTCTTGGGACTCTGTTCTGAGGAAATGAACGATATTTATGGCCCAATAAACCGTGTGCTCCATAATGAAAGGAGCCATAAGAGAGCGTGGCAGAACTGTAAATTGGGTGAAAGAAGCAGGAGGTCGGGCATGAATAAGGCAGTCAGTTTTCACCGAGGGAAATGAACTCAGGGCCGGCCCTAGTGTTCCCAGCGGAGGCTGAACTTAGGTGGGAGAACGCAGCGAAATGCTTCCATCTGCAGCTCTCATCCTGCTTTTGGAGCAGAGGGTCAGGCTCACCTGAGAACCACGAAGTCCCGGGAGGGGTGGGGCGCCATGCTGTTCAGCACGTACTGATAGACTTCCGTCTGTTTGTCCAGCGTTTCCACCACCTTCCACTGCACGAAGTCCTCGTCCCACAGGTGGCGCTCCCTCAGCACGCGGTTCAGAACCACCGAGGGGGGCGCCTCCACCTCCGCGGAGGCCTTCCACAGCCTCAGCGGGGGCCCGTCTCCCACCTGGGGAAAGACACCCGCAGCGGCTGAGACGTTGCTGGTTCCAGCAGAACCTACCAGGCTTCACTGCGTGTTCAAAGAGCCTCATCGACTATGGAGCTTTAAAGTGATTCTGTAACCTCAGGTGTTTCGTTCACCCTTAAGCTTAAGAGAAGAAGAGTGGTAATAAAAACGATAACCAGCAGCACACAGTGCTCCCTGTGGGCTAAGCATTGTTCTGATTTTTAGTTTTTTATTTCCCATTTTTAAAAATTAATTTTTATTGGAGTATAGTTGCTTTCTAGTGTTGCCTTAGTGTTTGCAAAGTGAATCACCTATATACATGTATCTCCTCTCTCTGGATTTCCTTCCTATTTAGGTCACCACAGAGTACTGAGTTCCCTGTGCTACAGGGTTATCTCATTAGTTATCTATTTTATCCGTAGTATCCATAGTGTATATATGTTCTCTGGTGGTGGTCCTGTTATTATGTCTGTTATGCAAATGAGAACACGGAGGCACAGACAGGTGTGTGACTCGCCCAGCGTCACACAGCTCGGGGCCAGAGCCAGGCCTGGGTCCAGAAGGGTGGCTCCACAGTCTGCCACCTGATGACACAGTCAGGCTCTGGTGCAGAGCTTTGCCCAGTTCCCGTGTGTCACACACCCTGGAGACAGAGGGGCCACTTTCGGAGGCGGTCCGCTGCGGCTCCTCAGGAGTAACTTCCCAAGACCCGAGTTACCTTTCTGAAGGCCAGCTCTGTGTTGTCTGTGCTGGGACACGTGACCCATCCTCTGAACTTCTCCTTGGCTTCCTTCTGGAGGCCCTGCACGAGGTGTTCCAGGTACGTGTGGAAAGTGGCCCCGGTGTCCTCCAGCTGGGCTCCCAGCTCTTCCAGAGTTGGCGGGTGGATCTCAGCCTCCACATACGAATTATGAGACTGGGCCACCATCTCGAGCGGGACCTGAACCAACGGGTACACAGAACAGCAACACAGAAATGCTGAGACTAATAGAGAGAGTGAAGGAGCGTCACTGAAAACCACGGTACTGTTGACAGGCCGGGTGCCACGGGGCAAGAGATGTTTGTCTGAGATCAGTGACAGCGGTCGGGAGAAAGGGCTTCTGAAAGTCAGGAAACCCAGATATGTTTGAGGCTATATTTATTATTCAGAACATTGCCACGACTTCCCATTCATCCTTTCCATTTTTCTTTGATTTTACTTGTCATATATTTTTATTCAGTTTGGCAAAACTTGGACTCAGGAAACTTAAAAAGTGCACAGACTTAAGGGGAACATCAAACATGACTCAGAAAATAGCTTTACCTTTTTAGCACACTTTTCCTTTTGCAAATGCCAGTTTTGCCACAAAAAGGATGCCAGAAGTCTAGTTCACTTACTCCTTTAGCATGTCTGTGTCTGTATTCATAAGCTGTCACTGATTCAAAGTTAACAGCAATTGTTCAGTATCCCACACACATCCATTGAATCTAATCAAGTCCTGAGGTCACATCAAATATACTATAGTTGGCTGGCCTAGGACCTGGCATGGGAACTTGATGCAACCGTTTTTATAAACATTATCATCATGGTAAACCCAAGTGTCTTTAACTGTCAAAGCCTCAACTTTGGGGTTGTCTCCTCATATTTCTGGGAGGCACTATTCAGTGTACCATTGTCAAAAAAAAAAAAAAAAACAAACCAGAAATAAGCCATAAATTCAGTAACCATTCCAAGTGTCTTATCGAGTTCCAAGAGCTATAAGGAAGGCGGTTGGAGCCTTTCACTCACCTCAAAAAGTCTGTCACATTCCATGATCATGTGGGCCAGGCCCTGAGCCGCAGCCAGATTCTCACTGAGGTCCTTTTGATCTGGCTTCCCGGCCGCATATTTTTTCTGGATGACTCTGTAATTGAAGGGGACAATCCTCAGCGGATCCCAAACCCGAGAGCATTTCACAGGACCCAGTTCACCCCTCTGCTATCTCCTCATGCCCGGATGCCATCTAGATTCCAGACTTTCTCATTTCCAAATAAAAACAGTGACCACACATCTTAGATATCCCGACACAGGTTAAGAGCCTGACAAATGAAAAACCTTGGAAAAACACAAGGGCAGGAATAACTGTTGGGGGAGAAATTAATCCATTTTTCCCCAAGTTTGAAACTACTTCACCGCAAGCTGCTGTGCTTGGGCCTGAAATCCAGTCTTTTCAAATTGAAGATTTTGTAAAATACCACCTTGTGTACTTTTTCCTTCCTTCTCACTCACAAACACACAAAACAGAACAGGATTCCAGGTTTTCCGGATCACAGAGGACACTCTTCAATGCTACCTGGGTAATTCTCTGACCCTGAGCCGCAAGAATCAGGTTCCTCCAAACATTTTCTGATTATAAATGAAGTGCTAACAGATCCCCAGGTTGAAGTGCAATGCATGTAGTTTTTTTTTAAGTAGCCCTGGGGAATACCTGGTTTAGGATTAGCATTCCTGTTGAGAAAAACCCACCTGGGGGAGCTTTCTTTCTTCAGTAAATTCAGGTGGAAGAGGGAGGGGGCCAGACACACGGCCAAGTTCATGGCCGTCATCTGATTCTCTTCCACCGCATGGACCACGTCGTTGAGGAAGCACAGCAGCGTCTGCAACACCTCTCGGCTCTCATCAGCAAGCAGCAGGATGGCCGCCTGCACTGCCTGCAGCCGCTGCTCCTTGGGGACATCTGTGAAAAAGTGGGTGCCAGGCCGTCAGAGGGCCAGCAGCAGAAGGAGCCGGCGGGGGAGGGGGAGAGTGTGCTACCTTCCTGCAAACATGCTCGGGGTCCTCGTCATCATCAACGGTGACCGTGAGGACAGCTGGGGGCACAAAGAAGTCATTGCTTTGGACCCAGCATCGGAACCCCCAGTCTCACTCCAGAACTCACGGTCTTAATGACAAGGCTGGACTCTCAAGGAGCACCCTGTGCTGGCTTTTCATACACACCTGTCTGCCACCTCAGCTGTTTCAAACCTCTTGCCCATTTCCCTCCCTCCCCAGCTTGTGAAGTATCTCTCAGGATGCACAGGGCTTGTGGGAAGGGGAACCAGGTCCCCCCTCCTCTCAAGCTGTTCTCCTTCTGGGTGGTCCCTGTGGTGAGGACGGTGGTGGTGGTAGTGGTGGGGGAGGGGGGCCCTGGTCATGCAGGCTTGAAAGAGAATTGGCTTGAACAGTAGGAGGTAACTAAGAGGGAAAATCCTAGAAAAATGGGTGCTCCGTGCTGCATTTTGCTGCCCCCTGGCTGTGTCTGTTAGTGATCTTTTAGGACTGCTGCTGCTGCTAAGTCGCTTCAGTCGTGTCCAACTCTGTGCAACCCCATAGACGGCAGACCACCAGGCTACCCCGGCCCTGGGATTCTCCAGGCAAGAACACTGGAGTGGGTTGCCATTTCCTTCTCCAATGCATGAAAGTGAAAAGTGAAAGTGAAGTCGCTCAGTCGTGTCCGACTCTTAGCAACCCCATGGATTGCAGCCTACCAGGCTCCTCCGTCCATGGGATTTTCCAGGCAAGAGTACTGGAGTGGGTTGCCATTGCCTTCTCCACTTTTAGGACGGACTCACTGCCTTATTCCCCTCACTGTGAAAGATACTATCAGGAACTCACTTGAGTTAAGCAGTGTGAAGTGTTAATAGCTTAGTCATGTCCTACTCTTCCTGACCCCATGGACTGTAGCCCACCAGGCTCCTCTGTCCTTGGATTTCCCAGGCAAGAATACTGGGAATGGGTTGCCATATCCTCCTCCAAGGGATCTTCCCCACCAAGGGATTGAACCCATGTCTCCTGCATTAGTAGGCAGATTCTTTACTGTCTGAGCCACCTGGCAGGAGTGGCCTCTTCCCCACAGTCATTGGAAAACTCTTGACTCCAGAGTCTATCCCTGGAACGTTGTTATTTCTAGTCTGGCTACTAGAAGTCACCGCAGGTCACTCAGAGCCTCAATCAATGTGCTGGCTACCTGACCCTCCATTCCTGTCCCGTTCGGTAGCTCCTGTTCACCACTTCCGGATTCATGGATCAAATAAGCAGTTCTGATGGACACTGGCCCTGCAGCACAAGCTTGGCTGCCTGGGAAATACTTGCTCTCTCTTTCCTCTCTAAGAAAGGCCATGTTCTGTTCAGGTTTGGGCTGTATTGTGCTCAGGGAGGTTGGGCCCTTCCCTCCAACCCACACTGGCCTAAACCAAAAATGGTAACCCCGTTCTTCTCTCCAGTGATTGATTTAGGTATACATTTAGAAAAATGTATACTTTCTGGCCTGTGGGACCGAGATAACTGCTAGGTAGGTGCTTCTGTAAATTTATCTCCCTGACAGAAACAGACACATGCCTGAGGAGATCCCGTCTGCTGGCCTCTTGCCTTTGGATGTGATTTTGGGAAGACATGATAATGCTAAGTTGTGGTAAGTCCTATTGTGACCTTAAGGGGATAATCAAGAGAGGCGCACTTCAGCCATGGTGTCCCTGAATTAACCAACTCTGGAATTATTCAACTCCAGATTTTCTGTATTGTGCGATTATATAATGTCTTTATTGTTTAAACAACTGTTTGTTGGATTTTTGGGCCTGTGTTTATAGCTGAGAGCATCATAACTGGTCATCTTCCTCAACAACACCCAAAGGTTCTCCAGTGATTAATGAATCAAATATAAGCCCTCTGCTCTAATGTTCAGTGCCCTTCCTGGGTACGGGCCTCAGTCTAATTTTTGGAGTCATTTGATGCTTCACTGGACAGCTACCCTTCTGCAAGCCAGATGGAAATCCTATAATCGCCTGACACATGTGCTGTTTGCTTCACTCAGCATGTGTTCCTTGTGTATCTCAACCTTTAGTTGTCACCTCTCCATCAAGTCCTTATTCCTCATCTCAACCCCCTTGGGTGCTCTTTGTAACTTATCATGGAATGTCTCCAGTCTTGCTGTATTGCAGTTATCTATGTACGTCTTGTCTCCCTAAGTTGTAAGATGCTTAAGAGCAGAGTTAAGTCTTACTCATCCATGTGCTCTGCAGTGCTCAGCACAGTGCCCTGAACATAAGCTGAAGTCAGTAAATGTTTGCTCAGCGAAAATAAACCCTGCTTTGATCTTTTTTTTTTTTTTTGCTTGTGAGTCTCACAAAGAGCTGAAAGCATTTATCTCTTGGAAATAATCTGGCTTTAACCTTATACTAATGTCAACCATAACCCAAGAACTGATTTCATGTAAAGGCCCATATATGCTACTTCCAAACCACAAGGGAGGTTTTCCTGAAAAAACACAGCTCAACCTCTTATGAAAACCTCTTATGGCAGAAACATGAATTCCCTGTATTTAGGCTTCAGCAACGTGTATCACTAACTTGACCTATTCATTTTGACAAGATAATATTTATTTAGTGGGTCACTACTTTATCCTGTTTTAACAAGTGGTACTTGTTATAATCCTTTTTGTTTGCAATATTGCAAACTCCTAAAATACATTTAGTACAGAATTCTTAATAAGCAGGAATCTTCTTCGAGTTGGATCAATTTCATGACAAGGTCCATTTCATGCGTATGTTGCTAAAAACTCAAAAATCCACAGGCTGAGTGTTTTTTTCCTGAAGAAATGAGACTTGGATCATTAAATACTTATAGCTGACCCTTGAACAACATGGTTTGACCTGCACAGGTTCACTTAACAGGCGAGTGCTTTTTCCTGATAAATACACAGTCAGCTCTTCCTATACTTGGGTCTTGAATTTGCAGATTCAATGAACTGTGAATCCTGTACTGTGTTTATGACCTGAAGTTGTCTGAATCCTTGGATGCCCAATTGAGGATACAGAAGGAAAACTGATGGTGGGACCTTAGTATCCTTGGGGAGTCCTGAAAGGAAGCCCATGCGAATGCTGTATAAACATAACAGTGCCGCTAGGAAAAAGCCACGTGTTCATTTCTCCTCCTGCCCTTAGCAACCACCTTTAGCAGGGTACGCCTTTAAATCAGTAATTGCTATTTTCAATTATTAATTATAGGGGCTTCACTGAGCATTATCAACTTCACATCACTTAAAAAGTTCTAAGTGAAAATATAAATTAGTTGAATTAAGCTTAAGCCTTGATTTGCTTTGCTTACTTATCACCAGTTAAAATGCATGGTATTAAAATACAGTTTGCCCTTGATTTCTAGTCATTTTAACACATCTGGATTTCACATATACCAAGGAAATGGTTTCTTTTGAAAAACACCTGTATGTAAAATAAGTTCTATTGTGTCCCTTTTTACTTTAAGTTTATTAAAATTACATTGAAAGTTAGTTTTTTTTTTTTTTTTTTTTAATATATCTTACACAAACCCCTATTGAGAGAAGGAAGATTTTTATGTCAAAAGGTATTTTCAAATGCATAAAATACAGCCTGGAGATTTTCATATCAAAGTGTGAACAAAGTTTACTCCTGTAACTTTTATATACTTCATGCATTGCTTGTAGGGTTTCCCTGGTGGCTCAGTGGTAAAGAGCCTGCCTGCAATGCAGGGGGCACAGGAGATGTGGGTTCGATCCTTGGGTGGGAGATTCCCTGGAGAAGGGCATGGCAACCAACTCTAGTATTTTTGTTTGGAGAATCCCATGGACAGAGGTGCCTGGTGGGCTACAATCCAAAGGGTTGCAAAGAGTCAGATACAACTGAGGCAACTTAGCACGCACGCATGTATTACCTGTAGGATTAAAATTCAATCTATGCACCTTTTTTTTTTTTTTTTAGGTGAATGGATGCACTTAAGAGCAGGCTGGGCACTGTACCACTTACACTGGTAGATGTGGAGGAAGGTCTCACTGAGCTTGTTGGTGAAAAGAGGCTCGGGAAGGTCCCGGAAGAACTGCTTCACCATGTCTGCTACGTCGTAAGCGGACTGGTCCTCATAGCTGACATTCTCAGGGAAGTTCTCATTCATTTGACGTAAGGCATGTATTCGAGATTTCACACCTGATTTTCGAAAAAGACCCACCTGAAACAAGCCACAAGGATGTGTCAGTGAGGCTGCCTTTGGCCCCAGATATTTTCTTCCTACGGCAAGCACCTGGAGGGTGATGGGAAGGCAGTGGGACCAGGACTCGGTGAGCTGGAATTGTGGCCAAACTAGTAAATTCTAAATTACTAATTTAGCTACTCTGGGCAGTAGCGGAACACTGACTTCCTCTCCCACAAAATGAAAATAATAATAGTACCCCACCTTACAGGGCTATGGAGAAAATAGATGTGATTGTGCTTTGTAACCTGTCAAGTTTTATAACACCACCGATGTTGTTATTGTATTCATTTAGTTAACAAGTAGTGATTAAATACCCATTATGTATCAGGCATACTTATAACTTCCTGGAGTCATCATGAGCAGACCAGACAAAATTCCCTGTCCTCTGGTTGTGTACACTTTAGTAGGGGTTTTGAAAAAGTTCCGTCAATGGAAGGTTTGATGGATACCAGATAAGTAACCATATCCAATGCCCCTTTGAGGGAAAGGTTTATTGGGAATGTGTTCATGAAACAAAATAATATCACAAGCATGTATTTTGATCGAAAAGTCTTACTTCTATGCTTTTCCTTCTCTAGAATCCTTGTGACATATATATGCTTCTCATATGACGTACCTACTACTCTAGCTGGTTAGCTGTTACGTGTGTAAGTCATGGCTCTGGTGAGAATGATTCCTGAGTGGCTTTTCTTCAGACGTCAAGACATTGTCTTATGCCTTTTTCATTCTTAGCACTTAAGACTCCTCTGCTTGACAAATAAATGGAGCAGTAGGGCACCATGGGGATGATGCCCCAACAGGAACGAGCAAGGGGGAGCAGAGCCCCGTGGGGATGGAGGGTCCTGCAGTGGTTTCCAGGTTATGCTGTAGGCTCCCCTCGAGGGGACCTGCTGCCACCCCAAAAGAACTGAGCTTCTCTGGGAGCCCAGGCTTACAGTGCATTAGTATGTCTGTTATTTTTAAATGCCTGCAGGGCACTGAGTTTCTCAAGACCGGTTCCTCAACCCTCCATCTGCACGCTTCTCACTGCCCAAGGGCTCCCTGGTTGGCCGGCTTCCACGCTCCCAGCCATCAGAGAGGTGGGCAGCGGCCGGACCGGGAGTCAGCGCTGGCCGCTCTTCCCCTGCTCTGGAGTCACGCCTCCCTGGCCGCTCCGTGTGCCGGGCAGGCCTCCACCCGAGCTCCCGCGTCTGAGCAGAGCTCTCAGTCGCTGCTATAAATGGAGAGCAGCCCTCAGTCTTTCGAACTGCAGTAACAGCAAGGGAAGAATTCCAAGCAGTTAGGGAATACTCGGGGTTTTGTTAGACGTCAGAGGCACGGAACGCAGGGGAAATTATACACCGCTACTTTTTGTGGCAATAAAGACAGAATCCTTAGTAATCCTTCTCTGCATTCCAAGGCTTACCACCCCAATTCCACAGAATTGGATATTCAGGCAGAGTGTCACTTAAAACATTAATCGCTTTCTTTTTGATTCTTAAGGTTTGGAACGCCTAGAAAACGCAGGAACGTTGCCAAGAAGAATCTAAAGAACATTTCTATTCCTCTGGCGACTACTCCAAATTTTATTAAAAGGCAAGAGAAGAAAGCATGTACTGTCAAAAGAAAAGTTCAAGGTGTCAGATAAGTGATTATCGGAGTGAGACCCGGCCTCAAAGTGTGTTTACATCTCTAGTTCTGGAAGGAGGCCCAGGACCAGGCCTCAGGGCCGTGATGCACACGAGTTCTCAGAAGCCAAGTGCCCTGGAGGTGAATTCCTCAGCGTGACTCACAAACAGGGCTCCTCCTGTGAGTTGGGAGTATTCCATCTGAGAATTCCTGTTATTATTGTTTTTGACAGTGGAGAAATACTGATCGTGTTCTATAAAAAGAATAAAGCTGACAACTGTGTGTGTGTGAGTGTGTGTGTGTGTGTGTGTGTGTGCATGGCAGGACCAGGTTCCTCATTGTCCTCTGTGTCTCGCCGGCGTGGATTCTGGTGCATATGAGATGCAGGTACACACACATCCCAGGAACACTTTCTTTGCACTGTTCTGTCTCCAAGTTTCTTTCTAGTTTCAGCAGATACTGTTATTTTAACGATTTGAGACGTGTCTGGAGCTCCCCAGCCGCCGGGCTTTGCGCTGCTCGCTCCGACTTCAGATCTCACAGGATGTCCAGAGGGTTGTCAGGTATTTATTTGTTCTGCCTCAAATTCTGACAGTAATCTTCCTGTCCCACCCTTATCTTCCAGGGGACGTGGGAAATATCTGTGGATTCTGTGGATTTTTGTTGGAAGCACCAAAGGAATTTTTTTTTCTCCTAAGTCTAGTAAAAGTAAAGGTGGTCTGAAATCAGATTCCAGATGGAGTACTGAGGATGGCAGAAGAGAGAGATGGGAAGGGCCCCTGTCTTAAAAAATGGCACTGAGCTGATGGAAGAACTGCCCTACTATCTGCCTTTTATGTGACCGTGGGAATTTTCTATTGTTTAAGCAATTTGGGGGTGGGGCTTCAGGTCCCTGCAATGGACAACTCCTGGGTGAGGTAAGTAGAAGCTTTTTCTGGGACCAGAGGGAAGAGCTTTTCTTATCCATCATTGTAGAGCAGCCAGGGCTGGGGGTTCCCAGGATTGCCAACCATCACTTCCTCTTCAAAAAGCTTTCAGAACTGTGATAAAATGTGTATTTCTGACTAATTTCTTTTTGCAGGTAAAAAGTGGAGGACCAAAGAAACCACTGAAAACGTGTTTCTTCTAAGGGCACCATGGTCATTGTGGCTGATGGGAGGCAACCCCAGGCCCTTCAGCTTCATTATGAAGAAGACCCAAGATGTGTGAAATGTCTCTCATTTGCTTCTGTGTCTGTTGCTGGTGGCCTGGTGACCTGGGTAGTCACATGTGGACCCACGATTAGTTTAACGCACTGTGGTCGCCATTTTGAAATTCTTCGTGATATCCATGCACTTTTCATTTTGCACAAGACTCCACAAATTACACAGCAGGGCCTGCTTTTACATACCAGAAAGCATGGCTCCAACATCCTCTCTTAATAGGGTAGAGTAGTGGTCAGCAATGCAAAATCCATTTCATAAGCTTCTCTCTTGCACGTCATCTCTCATTTTCAGGGTAAAAGGATGAATGATGAGTGCCCCTCTGGTCTGGTTTTACTGTTCTCTCTCTTTAGTCTTCCACCTAAACACTCAGCTTTGAAAAGCAAGGACTCAACGTGTAATTTAAAAAGACAGACCCAGGAACATCACTCATTTTATGATGTTAGGTAGGCAGCAGGTTGAGGACACTTGTACTGAGTATGAAGTGTCTTCACGGCATAATTGGGCTTTTAAAACTTACTACTCCATTAGAAGGAGAGCGCGGGCATGAGTGTTACATTAGAATTCAAGTTTCATCTAAATAATGTTAAATCTCCTACTTGGCATCCTGCTTATGCTAATGCTTTCAGCACTTAATGATGTTTATCAGGACTTGTGTTTCCTCTTCTTGAGGGATGTGCACCACTAATGAAGAAAGGTTGGTTTTATCCAGAAAGAGAAAGGTGCCTGAGAGCAGTATGTAGCGGGTTCTAATGTGGAGCCTTGTAGGTTTGGCCACTCACTGCCATGACTCTATACTCATCAGGAGCTGGGTATAACCTGGGTATCATCTACCCTTCTGTGCAGCTGATTTAGGGCAGAAATAAAAGCTCAGCCAACAGAGCCTGGTTCCTTTCACATACTGCCATGTCTGAAATGATTCATAATCAAAGGTAAACATCTGTATTTCATCTCCAGCCAACTGCTCAGGTGAAAATGGATACACTGTGTTTTATCACGAAGAAGATGTTCTGTACTTGGGGATGTAGGTGGCCCTGTTTCAGGGCTCTGTCGGGCTGTCTTCAGCTGTTTGTGATGTCCTTCTGTTTGAGAAGAATGCTTAGCCTGAGGGGAAGGGGTGGAGCAGGGAGGCAGCCTCCCTCTCTGGGGTGAGAGGCTGAGCCTTGGGACAGCCCTAGAAGGTGGTTGGAGGGGACCACGTAAAAGGAGGAGCAGAGAAGTCAGTCAAGCGTGCTTCAGAAGAAGGGTATCCTAGACCCTTTGGTCCTGCACAGTCGTGGGGCTGGGGTCTCATGATCCTGTGTAGACCTGAGTCTTTGATTCAGAGGAGGTGCCGTTGGTGAAGGAAGAACACTTATCTGGCAGGTTCTCCTTCCTTGTTCTTTGGTCCCTCTTTCTTTTCTGATTCACTGGCTTTTATTTGCTTGAGTTGGCTCTTAAATCTCTAGGAGAGTCTTCCTCCTGAGCCTGGTTTTCCTATTATGTTTCTCTACGTCCCCCTCATCGCTTACTGTTGCTGCCTGCCTTCTCTGCAGGGGCCAGAGGGGGCCCTCTGTGTGCCCCCCCCACACTCTTTGCTGATGAAGGTGGGGGGTCATTGCCAGCATGGAGTGCCTCCTAAGAGAGAGCCTGGCTAAGGCAAAAGTCCCTTTGACATCTGACAGATTCTTTCTTTTGACGGAGACAAGAGAAGGGTTGACCTGTTCATTGTGTTTATATTTACAGTCAGTATCCATGTCCACGAAATGAGCCTTTTTCTTATAAAGCTTTGCCAGCATGCTGTTTTTCAGGGTGGTGTTCATCCAGATTAAAAAAGAAAGAAAGAAAATAGTTACAGGCCTGAAACGGAGACAGGGAATAAGCATGAGCCAGGGAGCAGGGGTTGAGGGGGATTTGGTTCCACTCTCCTTCTCTCCACGTGGATGACTTTTGCTTCAAACAGGAGACTGGCGTCAATAAACAGCAGCAGTGCTGGTGACACATGTTTATTTGGAGTCTACAGGGGGCAGGACTGGTTTCTGTTCTACATAAAGACTATGTGGTGAGTAGAGTGGTGATATTACAATGCGTGTGTAGCCAATCTTGTTTAGGAAAGAATTCAAAGTGACTGACAGTGATCTATAAATTAAGGATCATAGATGAGACCATCAGAGCAATAGGAAAATAAAGATAGAAAAGGAGAGCAGGAAGTAGGAATGAGGTTCACACACAAAATTCACACATGCCCTCACGTTACATATATTAACTACAGGCAGAATGTGCATTTGGCCTCAATAATTCTTGCAGCCAATGTAGAGAGGAAAACATATCCAGCTGAATGAGCCTGCTGTACCTAATACAGACGGGTCAGTTTTCCCCAAAATAACAATGCTTTCAGGTTCTGGGGCCTGAGGAAGAAAAATTCTTTGGTTCTTACAGAGAAGACACCACATGATACAACGAATAGCATCATCAACACAATCCTGACACTGAATCCATCAGTGAGTTGTTTAGGGCCACTTCTCAAAGTGTCCCTCAATGCCAGAGGTGGCATCACCCCAAAAACACTGGGGACAAGCAATTCTAACAGGTGGTAGTGAAATGCATTTGTTAAAAACTTGGACCCTGGAGAAAGATTTTCAAGCAAATGTTGGCTCCACCATTGCCACCTGGGGGCTAACCCTGCCCTGGGTGGATACGGGATTGAATGAGGCAGTGAGCGCAGGATACCTAATATCCCTGAAACATGCTGGGCACTTAAGAAAGGTTATAGTTATTGAGTGAAGATGAACTGTGGCATTTACTTTAAGCATTCCAGAACAAACCCTGTTTTCTCTTAATAGAGCATTTGCTGATAAGCACTAGAGTCAAAGACTCGAAGAGAATCAGCCAAGAGGGAAGATGGGTCTCATATACCTTTATGAAAATTGAGAAGTTTGGAAAAATGTGTCTGAATAGCAGGCTACTGTCCACATAATACAATCCTGGGTCTATACTAATAGTCTAATAAAAGTACAGTTGAAGCTTCAAAGTCCTGTGCTGAAGGGCATGGTGGCAATGCTTTCAGAACTGCAAAAGAGATTAATTAGAGTGAAAAGTGGAATCACTCAGTTGTTTCCAACTCTTTGTGACCCCATGGACTGTAGCCTGCCAGGCTCCTCTGGCCATGGGATTTTCCAGGCAAGAATACTGGAGTGGGAAGCTATTTTCTTCTCCAGGGGATCTTCCTGACCCCGGAATTGAACCTGGGTCTCCCGTACCACATTGCAGGCAGACTCTTTCCCATCTGAGCCACCAGGGAATTCCCAGGGTATGGGCAAATGTTGGAGCCCACCTCTCCAAAAATTTTTCTCAATAAAATACCCATAGACCTTCTACTTTTGATTAATGTGTGCCTTTGGTTAAAAGTTCTAAAATTAAAAAAAAAATCTAATGCTTAACTATCAGCTTCATTGGATTGCTCTATTGGGATGTTACTCACAAATCAATTAATGTTGGGGCATCTGCCAAAAATGAGTGCTATTAGTTTTAGACAAGTGATCTGTTGTTTTTCTTTCTGAGAAATAACAGGGAAACCATCCAGGCCATTTCTCAAACAAAGCAGCCATCACCACCACAACGGTAACAGCAAACATGTTTACCCTCACGGTAACATCTAAATATGAAAAAATGTAGATGTGTGTATTATCTAAATTAAGAGTGGGAAAGGAAAAGGGAATAATGCATTGAGTTCAATCAGTGATGGCACTGATTGTAGAAGTTACTCCTGTTCTTTTCCATTGAAAACTGCTATCTGATTCATCAAGAGACCATCCTGATTCTAAGTATGATCTCAGCACTGGGGTGGAGATGACACTAATTCATGAGTTTGGTCAGCTTAGCTCATTTCTGTCCACTTAGCTTAAGGCCAAGGGTAAATCAATGAAAAGTGCAAATAACCTTAGTTTGGCACAGATTCTTCACATGGTATTAAAGAGTAAGATGAATAGAATCCATTATAGGATAGTTGCCTGAAAATACCCTCACTACTCAAGGTTGCAATTGATGAAGTGGAAACATGGCTTTTATTTTGGACAAAATGTCTAATAGAGAAACTAATGAGTATTAATTTGGAGGAGCAAAGGCCTGGCCTGGTTAATCATAGACTAGGCTGTACTCTGGGCCATTCACTGTCCACCACTGTGGTGGCCCCCACAGTCCTGGAGACAGAAAATGGTCTCCAAAAATTTTGTTCACCTTGGGTTTTTTAATCAACTCCATAAGATGATGGGACATTTAACTTAGCTGATATTTTCATGTTTTACTTGCACATTTAAAAATATATAAATAAATTAAAAAATATAAACAGTTACAGTGCTGCTTTGAAAAAATTAATAACGGGAGATATAAACACCTAATTCTAGTATAAAAACAAACAAACAGGGATAAAAGAATGCTGTGAAATCAATGGTGGCATTGAGACCGTAATTAAAGGGAAATGCAGTAGATAGCTTTACTCCCAGTTTCCGGGGAACACAAATTAGCCATCACAGGTACAAATGATCAACGTTAGCTTTCTGCAGTCACTCCAGAGTGGCCTTCAAGTTGCCAGTGAGGAAACATCTTCGCATGCCTTGACGAGGATGTCACCTGGTCAAATTAAACAGTGACCTCTAAAGACGACAGTGCCTTTTCTTTCCGAGAGGCATGTCTTGTCTGACCCTGGACAGATCTGGTCTGACTGCCGCTCTGTGCTGCCTGGCCTGTGCCTGGGACTGACGACCCTACCTGATCGAGGCAGTTGCTGCGTAGATACCTCAGCGCTTGCTGGATGCTCTGTGGCAGAGGCTGCCCAGTTCTCTGGACGTGAACGATGAGGGGAACGCCAAAGACCATCTTGTCTCGATAATCGGGAACTTTCATCCTCTTCATGAACTTTGGAACTGCCCTAGAATTCACAGAAACCAGGTCATGCACGCCTCGTGGAGCACACTGCGGGGAGAGGCTGTGAAAGCAAGAGGGAAGCCAAGCTTTTGTTGGAACATCTGACAGGCACCAGGGAATTCAACATTTCTCCCTTGATTATTCACATTACATTGGGAGGACTGTGTGTGCCCTGTGCCTATAACTGTTAAACAGGGTGATTCACGTTAGCAGAATGGATTTATGGCCCTGCTTTCAAATCAAGTGCTTGACATTCCAGTTTAACTGTGATGGACACACTTCTAAGTGATAAACACTTTGAAGTCCCCAATAAGACAAAACAAAACAAAATTAAAAACTACATCAGGAAGAAGAAATTTGGTTGGGGTTGTGGGAGAAAGAAGAGAAGATAAAATATTCTGTTAATATCTTCCCTTACTTTTCTAGACCCAGTTGTACTTTATAAAGAAAAATTTAATATACAAGCATATGTTGATTTGACCACACAATCTATAACTTTCTTATTATATTTTATAAAAGCACTGCCGATTCTTCTTTGTGCATAATATATAACATATGACAATTAGCAGCACATCTTATGTTTTTCCAAATCCATCAAATTGTCTAAAATCGGTCCACATTCAAGTTCCAACATGTGCTTTTGTGAGTTCCTTATTCCAAAGGTTTACTGCATAGTCTTGTTTTTATTAGCCAGTGAAATAAGAGCGGAACTGTATTTGAAGAGTTCAGTGCTCTCAGAATGAAGCAATGCTCTAAGTGTGGAGCTCTGCATTGGGCCAGGAGGTACAAGAAACAGATGTTTTCTTTGCAAACTGCCAGAATTACTTTATGGCAAGTTTATTTTTAATGTCTCTGTTCACAACTGATCACTCTTTACTTGGAGCCTGACTGCCTTCCCTGGAAACTGACAGAGAGCTACAAATAAAGCAATGCTTCCTGCAGGCTACATCTCATCCAGGCTTTGGCAGCCCAGAGGCAGACACTGAGGAAGAACTCTGGGCATTTTTTTTTCCCCCAGGAGACTGGCAGTGAAGGCAACAAACAGATTCCTCAGAACTCAGAAAGCAAACACTGAAGTGCTTGCCATCACACACTGAGCCCTGGAACGAATGGTCCCCTCCAAGGCGGATGGGCTACGCACCACGTCCAGCCATGCTTGTTGGACATGGAGTGCTTCTCCATGATGGCCGTGAGGCGGAGCAGCGAGAAGCGCTGGAGCAGGTTCAGCTGGCCGGCTGTCTGTCCGCTGATGTGGGGTGACGCCGTAGATGGCTGCGGCTGGTGTGAGAGCTGGAAGCTGTTCCACCGGAGTCGCCTTTACCGGAAAGACCATCAGAGAAGCCAGTCACAAAGGGGATGGGTTTGTCAGAAAACATGGGATGTTACCGATTTTTAAGTAGCTAATCAAAATAGTTTCTGAGCCAAGAGAATCACAGAGCAAATGGAGCAGAAAGACACAAAATGCACAGAACAAACAGAAGAAACTACTTTGAAAGAAGTCATTATCTGTTTCATTGGTGGTGTTAGTTGCTCAGTCGTGTCCAACTCTGCGACCCCATGGACTGTAGCCTGCCAGGCTCCTCTGTCCCTGGGATTCTCCAGGCCAGAATGCTGGAGTGGGTTGCCATTCCCTTCTCCAGGGAATCTTCCTGACTCAAGGATCGAATCCAGGTCTCCTGCATTGCTGGCAGATTCTTTACCATTGGAGCCACCGTTAGGAGGCTTAAATAAGTGATATAAGGTACCATTACACGCCAGTCAGGATGGCTGCTATCCAAAAGTCTACAAGCAATAAATGCTGGAGAGGGTGTGGAGAAAAGAGAACCCTCTTACACCTTTGGTAGGAATGCAAACTACTACAGCCGCTATGGAAAGCAGTATGGAGATTTCTTAAAAAAACTGGTGGGTGGAGAGGGAGGTGGGAGGGGGGCCTGGGATGGGGAATACATGTAAATCCATGGCTAATTCATTTCAGTGTATGACAAAAACCACTGCAATGATGTAAAGTAATTAGCCTCCAACTAATAAAAATAAATGGAAAAAAAAAATAATAATAATAATTTTTTTGTGTTGGTTTATTCCTAAATCCATTCCCACAGTGTTGAAAGCACCTGAGACTGTGTGTGTAAGAGAGAGAGAGATGTTCAGATTGACAGAGGCGGAGACGGAGAGCACACACATTTGGGAGCTAGAGAGTACCGTCACACTGCCGTCCTGACTCCACACTCTTGACTTGTGACAGGTGCAGATGAAGCTCTCCTGACATGACCGCACAGCAGTGAGCCCGAGAGACATCACTGCCTCAGGAGAGACCCTACTGGTTACCCCCTTCCAGGGCCATTTATCTAAGGTGCTTGTGAAATGGTCATAGTAAAACAGCTTTTATAGTAGTAAAAGCAGCTTTGTAATCTGCATTTTAAAGTCAAAATAAACATATGAAGTACTGTATACACCGTAGATCTCAGAAATTTCTCATAGAACTTTTTAATTTAAGATTTGGCAAAAGAGATGCTTGGCAAGGTCATGGGAAGAGCCTGTGCACAGGCAATGGGCTTCATCAGTGCTTTGCACATAAGAAGCTCAATTATTATTATTATTTTTTTGCATAAAACCAAGATTGAATTAAAGGGTAAACACTTGGAGAAACAAATATGAGTTAACATGGATTCAATCTGTACAAAAGACATACTACTGTTCAAATAATTCCCAACCGCATACATCGCTTAGACCAGTGTTAAACATTTAGAAGGTACTCTATAAATGTTTGTTAAATAAACAGACCATAATTATTATGAAATGGATTTAAACCTCATTTCACAAAGCCATGCCACCAACCTGTTTGGCCTGGTCAGAGAGGCCCCTACTCCCGAGTCCCTCCTTTCTCTGACCCCAGCGGCCTCTGACTCAGTAAGAGACGCTCCGTCTCTTTCCACGTCACTGGGTGTGGTCCGACCTTCGGAGACAGAGTTGCCTTCGAAATCCAAGGTGATCTGATTGGGAGAGGGGAAAGGGGAGAAGCCAGCCTCTCCGGCGCTGTGTGTCTGTGGTTCGGGTAACATGTTTCTGGACCAGTCATCCACTACCTCCTGGAGCCCGTTGACATGATGGAGGATGTCATCCAGGTGAGGGAAGAGGTCATCCTTCTCCAAGTCCAGAAGGTCCCCGGTGCTGGCGTACAGGTGGGAGCCGGGGACGTTGTCGTAGATGCTGACCCGACTTGCCCTGTGGCAGGACCCCATGAGCCTGGGCTCTCTGGCCCCCGGGCTGGGCTGTCTGCCCAGGGAGATGCTCCCAGTCCTCCAGTTCGCCCCGTGGCTGTTGTCTGTTGGCGAGAGGCTCTCGATAGAGAGTGCCTTGGGGAAGGTTCCTGGCTTGTGGTCCTTGGGGACATGCACCACCAAGTTCTCTTGGGAGTGAAACTCATGCGCGTGGTGGTTTCGGTCCCCCGAGTCCCGCAGCGCTGTCCCCGAAAGCACGTCCAGGTCTTCGAGGTACATGCCCCCGCGCTTGTGGGCCTCCTGGCACCTCCGCTCCTTCAGGCCAAGCGTGCTCCCCCCAGTGCTGCTATTCTCTGAGGGGCTGCCCTCAGCACCCCACTTGGTGGGGCCAGGAAGCCCGGCAGTGCCGGTGGCGGGGGGCGAGTTCTGGAGGTGTCCGTTTGGGATCTGGACGCACTGCATGGCCTTGAAGGACTCGGGCTCCTGCTGCAGCACGGGACCGCTGATCACCAGGCCCCCGGTCCGCCCCTTGTGCCTCCCCTGCGCGCCTTTCCCTCGCAGCGTTTCCATGCGTTTCAGGAACGACTTGGCTCTGACCCGGCTGGGCTTCTCATTCTTTGGGTGCAAAGGGTGCTGGAGCCCGTCTTTGGGGGATGGCAGGAGGCTATGGCCCACCAGTGCGGCGTCCAGCATGACCGGGCCGTCGGCGCAGTACTGCCCGGGGCCCTCGAAGGCCTCCTGGCCGGCGCCGTGCCCGCCCAGCTGGCTGCGGCCGTCGCTCCCGCCGCTGCTTTCGCTGTGAATGGAGCAGACCTCGGGCTCGCTCAGATCCGTGAGGACGCTTTCACTGCTGGTCGTGTTTCTCATCCTAATGTCTCCCGACAACCCATTTCTGTCTCCTCCAGGAAACAGTGTGTGGAGGTCGTCCACGCGAGACCACCGGCGGCTGGTTCTTTGGAAAGTCCATTTGTTGCTGAGGCAGAGATCTTCCTCATCGGAGTCGTCACCCTGGAAAACAGCAGCAGGATGCTAATGTAAGGGTGGCAGGGGTGGAGAGGGCAGTCCAGGGAGCGTGGGCACAGCACCGCCGCCTCCCTCCCTCTCACGGGTGGACCCTTTTGCTGGTCCCTCCCCCATCTTTATTGTCCTGGATGCCCTCTTCCTTCCCAGTAGCTGGAAGATCCCTTCCCAACCCGTCCAGCGCTCTTCCCTTCAGTTTTCCTTCCCTCCTCTATAAGAAGCTTCATGGACCGATTATAGAGGATGTAATTACCATCTGGCTAGACAGGCTAAATATAAAACACCTGCAGTTCTCCCTTTTTGAGTAGAAACTTAATCTTACCATAGAAGGCACTTACTTCTTTCCATCTCTTTATGGAGCCCTAGGACCATATTTCTAGCTTTCCTCTTCTGAGCCTCAGAGTCACTAGATCTCAAAGCCAATACTCCTTAGTCTCCCAGACTTGATTCTTAGCATATGTTCCCATGCAGGTTAACAGCCAAATTATCTCCAAATTCCTGGAAGTGGAAATTTGGGAGCCATTCTAGAGATTCCTGGCGGAGGAAGGTCCCATCCCAGCCAGCACCACCAGGCCAGCCTTCTTGTTTTTAGTCAGCCCTGGATCCGAGCTCCTTCCTGGGACATGGGTATCTGGGTGCTATGGCCCCACCATTTTGCTCTGTCATACACCTCACACATTTCTCTTACGTCTGGGTTCTGCCTGAATTTGTAACCCCTGAGACAGAAGAGTCTGGGTTCCCTGAATCCAGAGATGGCTTTGTTTATCTTTGCAAATCCCTGGGCCCGGCCCAGCACAGACATATAAATAATTTCCTTTCCAGATGAACTGGATCATCCATTCCTTCCTCCTCTTCATTATGTGTATTACCAAGACCCGACTCTGACATGGTTCTCAAATCTGCTCCCTCGTTCATATCTTCACTCTCATTCCCCAGTGTGGGCCCTTGGCACCTCTGGCTGGGTTATTACAGTAAAAACCGGGCCAACATCCTCTCCATCTAAACGACTTTCCACAGTGTAATCCAAATGCAATCACAGGGTTTCCCAGTTTAGACACTTTTCGTTCCCCTTAGCTCTCTGAAGTCTGGGTATGGCATTTTCAACCTGACTTTCAACCTGAAGCTCTTTCAACCTGACTCCAATGTGCTTTTCTTATTTTAATGCTTCCTCCCCATCTTCCTGCATTCTGCTCCCTGACCTGCAACTAGGTCCAATACCCAGCTCTGTGACAGGATTAAGATCCTAAAAGGTTTATATGGTTCCCTGTCCTTCCCTGGTCCCTGACCATTCTTGGGTACTCAGCTTCATGAGTCTCTTTTATGCATTCCTGACAGCCCCAAGGCAGTGACTACGCTTCCACTGTGCTCCTGTAGCATTTAGATCTTTATTGTAACATTTATTATAATGCTATCTTAATCTCATGTCCCATGCACCTACTCTCAACTGTTACAGATAAACTCATCAGGTCCAGGGCCTGCGTTTCTGTGTCATATTCATAATTATATCCTCCCCAATGCCGAGCTGAGAGTAACTGCTCTCTTTCTCTCTATGTGTGTATATATATATTAATTGGACTAAGTGTTATTTCACTTGACCTTGGCATCCGGTTCTCAGACCTGGTTGCCAGTGCAAGCCGTACCAGTTAGACTTAGGTGACTGTCTGAAAGTTGCTTACTCTCTCCAAAGTGCATTTCTATTATTTATAAAATGGCATTTATAAAATAGGACTGAAAATTGGTTCTGCATCATAGGTTTGCTTTGGGGATTACATGAAATAATGCACTGACTAATCCTTCATTGAGGGATATTTTGGCTTATTTGTTATTTTCTCGTGTTTGTTCAGCTGCATCTGTGCTTCCTGTCTGTGTAAGATCTTATCCATCTTTCTATATATCTGGCAGCTACCTTAACTCCTCTGGACATCGCAATATATTGTCTTCAAGGAAAAATAAACAGATGCTTAGTCAGTGAATGTGGGATCCTTCCATTCTTATTCCCTGAAAATCTAGGTTCACAGGGACTAGACTACATAACAAATTTGAACTTTCAAGTATAAGGTGGAAGAAAGTAGAAAACCATGGCAATCACAGAGAATTTCATAGCTGTGGCAGCATGGTGGGAAATTAGCTTTGAATTTTAAGAAAGTTGCATAAAACTTTGGCGAAAGAGCTTAAAAAGTAGCACAAATGGAAAAAGGTCAAGACTCTAGGATGAAGACTCAAAAATATCCTTTCTTCATAGCATTTTCTACCTCCTCTTTCCCTGCGATGGATACAATAAACCCTGACATCTAAGGGCTATTTAAATATCAGGTACTGTGACAGTTTGAAGGTTGAGTTTATTGGATTTTCATGTCATATTTCAGGAAGCTAGGAGAAGTTGATATTAAGTAAACATTCTGAAAAAAACCTTTTAGCAAACAGTTTCTGAGAAGGCAAAAGAAGGATATGCTTTTAAAGAAAATACAGATTTTCAAAATAGAAACTACAACATCTAGTGTTGGCTCCAATGAGCTCTCTAAAGCAATCCCAAACTTGGTTACTGATGCTAGCAAACCACATACTAGTTGGAGAAGGACTTCTTTATGTTGGTTTAGAAAAGATGCCAAGCTGGGCACTGTGGGCTAGGGATGGAAAGCCCGCTCCTGTCTGCTGGGCTCTAAGAGCTTATTATACTGGCTCTGGGCAAAAAGAGATATTTACAACCCAACCGAAGCATGTGAAAAAGTGGTAAACTCCTGGGGAAAAAGGCAAACAGTTCAGGGAAATTTTGCAGTATTTAGATGGCTTGAATCAAAACAAACAAAAATCAAAGCAATAAAAAACAAAAATAAAACAAAGAAAAAAGGAAAAGATACCTATCTTCTTTAGTATGCAATTATCAGAGTACGTCCAGAGGGTACTGACATGATTCTGTGTCTGTTTTTTCCCACTGGCGCAGGATCTTTGAAACTACTGATAGTGACATACAATAAGAAATACATTTTTTTTAGTTATAAATGGGTACTAGAGATGCAAGGTAAAACACCATAGATATAATGAACACTGTGTATGTTATATATGTAAGTTGTTAAGTGAGTAAGTCCTTAGAGCTCTCATCACAAGGAAAAACATTTTTTTTTCCTATTCTTTAGCATTGTATCTCTGGGATGATGATGATATTCACTGAACTTACTGTGGTAGTCATGATGTATGTCAGTCAAATCACGCTGTACACTTTAAACTGATACAGTGCTATATGTCAATTATATCTCAATAAAACTGAGGAAGGAAAAAAGGAAGTAATACAGCACTGATAACAGTATATGGAACATACTAAATGCTCAATACATGTTAACTGCTCATAAAAAAGAAAAATTCCAGCACAACTCAAGGCACATATACAAATTACACTAAAGCTAAATAAATAAATACATAAATTTATGCTATCACAGTTATCTTTATCCTCTGATATTTTATATTCTATTTTAGTCCATTTCATTTTTTTTTTAATGTTGTTTGCAACCCATTAGCTTCATCTGATAATCTACCAATGGGCCTTGATTCACAGCATGAAAAACACCATAGTTTTAGTTTTTTATATACTCAGGGACCAACAGATGGTCAGGGACATAGCAGACTCTCCAATAGTAAATGTAAGGTGTACTCTTTAGGAGATGATCAGATTTCATCTTTTTTTTTTTTTTGAGGCTAGACACAAATAGTTTGTGATTATTTAGAAATGCAAAATGGAAACCTCTAGGAGTCAGATGTTTTTATGATAAAAAGACACACCAAACTAACTTTATTCTCTCAGCAATTTAGTAAACCAGGGAAATACTAGGGACACGTGTGTCTGGATTTCAGCCAGGAACTCACAAAAGGCCAAGACGCCAAACTGCTGGAGGCTACAGAGCGTTTTGTGAGTAGCTGGTTGAGTAACTCCACCAGAGAGGGTGATGGAAAGACTGAAAGCAAATGACGCAGGACGCCTCCAGGCTGTGTCCATTTTAAGAATAAGTTGAATGAGTCAGAAGGATCCATGTTTTTAAACTGAGAAGATGGCACAGATTATTCACTAGGTGCTCTTTTTGCTGTTGTTTATTTTTAATTGGAGGACGACTGCTTTACAGTGCTGTGTTAGTTCCTGCTGTGCAATGAAGTGAATCGGCTGTAAGTACACGTCTGTCTTCTCACTTCTGGACCTCCCTTCCACCCCGTCCCTATCCCATCCATTCAGGTCTCACTAAGCCATCTTAAGTAAGGCACTCACTTTGAGACTCAATTTTCTCAGCTGTAAAATGGAAATGATAACAATCCACATCCGGCATGGTTTGCCAATAGAATCAAATGAGAGTATATGGGAAAATGCCAGATAAATCTTAAGGTGCAAGATGAAACTAATTATTGTTGTTAGAGAATACTGATTTGAGATGCATAACAATCTTAACAGAATTGAAGGATGGCCTGTTAATAAGATGAAATTTCATGAAGTTAAACACGAAGAACTTAACTTTACGAATCTATTGCAGGATGTGTGGGATGGAACAGTCTTTGTTCCTATCAATAGTCTTGAGAATTGTACCAGATTTAGGCTTAATGTGAGTTAACCATGTAATGTGGTAACCAAACCAAGACACTCACCTTAGGATATTTGCCCAAAAGCATGGATCTCAGCACTTGGGAGGTGCAGTCCCATTGTATTCTGCACCGGTAACACACATTAGGAGCATCGGGCCACAGCTTAAGGGGCCCATGGAATGGGATATATTTCTAGAGTAGAGTAATCAGGTTGGCCAGTGATCTAGACATCACAACCTTCTATGAAGGATGATTGAAAGGACTAATGGTTTGGTTTAGAAGAAAGGAACTCGAGGACATTACAACTCAAAGTGTGGTCAAGGGGCTGACAGTCCCCTAACCAGTCTTAAGTGAGGTGAGTTCAGACACTGAGAGTAAGTATTAAAACCATTTGTCACTATTTGGCATGGCTGTGCTATCCAAGTTCA